GAATTCTTGAGAGAAAGAAACACAGAGACTTAACCACAACAGAAGCAAGGACTTGTCAAGAGACTGAAAGACAAAGAAGAAAAGCACATGAGACTCCCGGGGACACTGAAGTGGGTTCAGGGAGCAGTGCTGGTGGAAGATAAGTATCTGTCTTGATGTGTATTTTAGGGGATTGGATGTGTCTTTAAAAGTTCAAGCTCTTATTTGCTACGTTAAGATTCATGAATAAATATAGTGTTAAAGACCCCTTTCACCACCCTCCCCACCTAGATCAGGAGTCTCAGCACTGCCCCTCCAGACACTGCCTCCAAGCGTGTCCTTCTCTGATCTTTCCACTCTCACAGGAGGAGATGCAGGCAGCTGCACACTGCGATGTGCAAGAGCCTGGGACTGCACTGCTCACGTCACTGGATTTAGTCACCACCGGCAGCGGACAGAGATGACCTGGAGGTTGAACAAAGCACATTCAACTCTCAGAGGTGTAGGAATCGCCACCAGCATGCTCCTACACAGATCTGGTATTTTAAAGAGGCACCTTCTGGCCAGCTAGCTTGTCTCAAGCCGTAAGAATCAAAGGCGATACCTCCTTCGTGTATCAATAATGAGCACACGCGCATGCACACAGCTGCTTCGCAGGGTGTTTCACAGATTCACAGAAGTTTAGGGCTGGAAGGGACCTCAGGAGATCATCGGGTCCAGCCGCCCTGCTCTGGGCAAGAAAGACTGCTGGGGTCAAATAACTCCAGCAAGATGTGCGTCCAGTCTCCTTTTGAAGCTCTCCAGGGGACGTGCCTGCACCACCTGCACTGGGAGTCTATTCCAGAGTCTGGTCACACAAACTGTAAAGAAGATTTTCCTTATATCCAGTCTGAAGCCTCTTTCTAGGAGTTTATGACCGTTGCTCCTGGTTTCCCCCTGGGGTGTTTTGGTGAACAGTTGTTCGCCTAGCCTCTGATATATGAGTAAGCTGCCACCAAATGCCCCCAAAGCCTTCTTCTCTTTTCTAGGCTGAACAGTCCCTTATCTATCAGCCTTTCCTCATATGGTTTGCTCTTCAGGCCTCTAATCATACGAGTGGCTCTTCTCTGGGTCCTGGGCTGTCTCAAGCTCCTCCACATCCTGCTTGAAGTGCGGCACCCAGAACTGGACGCAGTACTCCAGCATACCAAAGAAACTGCCAGAGGAGATCTCAGAGCCCTTGGCAATAATACTCATGAAACAGTGGAAGATGGGTGAGATATCGGTGGACTGGAAAAGGGCTAACATAGTACCCTTCCTTAAAATGGCAAAAAAGGAGGACCTGGGGAGCTACAGCCTGGGATACCTGGGAAGTTACTGGACTATATCCCAAGGAAGTCCTGGTTTGAAACATAGCAGGAGAGGTGTCTGCACCCACAGCAACTACTAAACAGGTTCAGTGCGACAGGGTCATGGGGTGAGATCCAGTGATGTGAAGGGGGGAGGGGGCGGGCAGAAGTAGCAAAGCCCGTGCGGTGGGTTCCAGGATGCAGTTGCAGTGCACTGCCTTCCAGCTGTCAGTGCCCCGGGCCAGGCACCTTACATCTGGCCTGTAGATCACTGCTAACGATGAGCAAGGATGAAAATTAGGCTAAGATTTTTTTTTCCCCTGGCACAGAGAAGAATTTGGTTATTCCACTTCAACCTTTAGTGTCATGTATTTGGTGGTTATTTCCCCTTCAGCCTCCTCTGTTTAGATAAAAATAGCTCTAGAGTGGGACAAAGATCTCAGTTCTTGTCTTTAAGTACATGTTGAAGGCTGTCTGTCTGGACCCAGCTGGGGAAGAGGCTGAAACTAAAGCCTCTCTCCACAAATAAAGCCATGCGGGGCTATTAATTATACAGCTCTTGGGGTGGGGAGACTCACCGCACTTCTTGTTTGCACCCACACCAATTTCCATCTCTGCCCCAAGCAGCCCCCAAAACAAAGCTTCACCCTGAACCCACCATTGCACAGACAAGGCCACCAAAAAAATCAGATGAATGGAAGGGAAACCAAAGCTAAGAAAGCAAATTAAACATCTTCCAAGTGATTCCTGAGCCTCTGTTTCATGGGCACAAGTGACTGGTGCATTCATGAATCGTGTCCCAATCACTTGGCCTAGGGATCTGGGCTTCTAAGTCACTTGGGGGCACTGGGAAATGTTTCCCCAAATACTTGTTGGAAATCTGAAAACAACAGCAGTCTCCCTGTGCCTGAACAAGGGTACTTGTGCCAGAAAGCTTGCAAAGAACTTTGTTCCTGCTACTCAGTTGGTCTAATAAAAGATATCACATCTATCCAAAGAACCTGGCCTGCTGGAAATAAAGGTTTATCCTGAGCAGGGTGAAGTGCCAGAGACCGCGTGCAGACCACTCTGCCTGTCACTGCTCCGTGGACGTGGCCTTGAAAGGAAACCCCCTGCATCAGCTCAGCAGTGTGTGCACGGTCCCACGGGGACGGTTCCCACTGGAAGGGAAGGAGCTGTTCCTCCTCTGTCCTGGGAGGTGCCCCATAGCCATGAGTGTGTGTCTCCAGCAGGAGCCCAGACGGAGGGAAACCACCACAGCCCTTTGTGTCCCGGGCACAGCCCGAGGGATGCTCCAGCCCAGGGGCTTTCACAGCAAGCCCTTGCATGTCGAGATACTGAACACACCTGCAACCTGTGCAATTCAATTCACTGAAGTCTATCTACTCTGATCGATTCAATTCACCTGCTCCATGGAAAGCTGGCCAGAGCAGTGTTTCTCAACCTGTGGGTCGCAACCCAAAAGTGGGTCACAAAACTATATGAAAGAGTTACAAATAAGCTTTAAAATGGATCAACAAATTTTAAAAAATGATTCTTTTTTAAAGGAGAAAAACATGGGAAATCGTGGATCTTGCCTCACAGGCTGGCAGAGTTCCAGCTTGCAAGGGGCTGGTTGCCCCACCTCAGATACCCCCTGTGGCAGAATACCATCGCTGTCTCTCCCCAAACTCTGCTAGCTGACAATTTGGTTCCCATGGTGACTGCGGAGGGCAGACACCTCGGGCACCATCAGCTTCAGGTAACCCTGAGTTGTAACCTGAGCTGGATGCATTCCTGAGGGAGGAGGGAAACCTGCTCCCTCTGCCTACATGACTGGCCTCACACACCTGGGTGGGGGCTTAAGTACCCTATTGTTCTAAGCAATGCCATCATGACTGGGAGGGGGCCAAAGACCCTGCTAGTGTACCCGGCAACCAGTGATGGATTTCAAATTGGTTGGCTGGGAGCCAACAGTTGCTGGCCTTCATTGGATCAGGTAAATGAGGTCATAAGGGCTACATAAGTGAAGGACTGCCCAGGAGGAGGAGCAGTAGCCATGATGAAAACTCACAGAGAGAAGCTGAACCATCTGAAACTCGCTCTCTGTCTTGAAACTCGTGATCAAGGAACTGCCTGCCTCCAGAGGGAATCTCCACCTGCCTGTGGGTGATACTCATGAGTAAGCTACCTGAGATCTAACGAGATATATAGCTTGCAGTAACTCAGATGCGTAATCAAAGGCTAACATGGCACTCTTTGCTCTAAGGTATTTCTCTGAAATTGCTCTACCCTGTGTGGCAGAAATGCCACTGTCAGTGCCCCTCTCCCGAGATCTGTCTCCACCAGCCTGAGAGGCGGCCGTTGAATCCCTCACAGTGGGGATCTCACTCCTTGTCTGCAGACAAAAGCCTGGCGCCTGGGAGGCGATGCTCTGGTCACCTGGGCAGGGGGGGAAGACCCGGCCCTGCGCGCGGGCCCAGGTAGCCAGGGATGCTTTGTAGATTGGACGGTTTGTAGCCAGTATTGGCAGCTTTGATTGGACTGGGCTGCTGAGGTCAGAGAGGTTTTAAAAAGGCCTGGGCGAGGAAGAAGGGCGGCCATTAGACCGAGGGGC